AGGGGAAATTCCATCTAAATTAAGAAAATATTCTTCACTGAGAGCAGTTAAACATTGGAACTGGGCGCCCAGACAGGTGGTGGAATCTCCCTCACTGGAAATATTCAAGGCTTGGTTTGACAGGGCTCTGGAAAACTCACTCTTCAATAGAAGGTTAAACGAGATGACCTCCAGACATCCCTTCCAATCTCGACTTTTCTATGATTTTAGTCTATGATTTCAGAATTGCAGTGGACGGCTGAAAACCCCATTAGGCTACGTTCAATTGTCACTTTGCACAAACGGGGTCAGAATCCCAAATCTTCTTAACCAAATTGGCTGATGGGGCATGAATCTGGTGCTATGTGTGACTGACTGATTGTATTGCTACATGCAAAATAAAATAGCGCTTGCCCTCTCCATTACTTTAAAGTACACCAGGTTACCTTAAAACACATCTGGGGCCAAATTCAACCTTTACTTTCGCTATACTAGCAATGAAGCTGATCCCTACCTGTCAGTCTACTGGTGTAATTTTTGGCCTTCTGGTAACTGTCGATTTATACTGTATTAGTAAGACACTTGAACTTGCTTTTTTTTTTTTTCCCCAATGCATAGTGAGGTGTAACTCAGAGATGCTTACATTGCTGTTTGCTGTTTCATGGTAAACCTGTACACACGACCTTAATGCCTAGCACAGAATCATGTGAGTTTATGACACAGCAGCAGTCTAGAAGGTAGTTTTCTCACACTTGCCGTATTTTTTGACTGATCTGAGCAACCTGGCTGATTGAAAATAATTTACCAAGAAACTGAAATGATTTCCTGAATAAAAGAAGTGATTTCAAAAACTGTCTTAAGGTGAGTATTCATGGACAAGATACAGCTTTCCCTGGTAGGTACAGAGAGCTGTTCAGTCCCTTAGGAATATAGCCTTGTAAATGTTTTATTCATGTCAGTTATTCACATAAGTGGGTTTCACTTTAGTGTGTAACACAAGCCAGCTGGTTTGCTTCTTTTAAACTCTAATTTCTCATGCACTTCATATTGCTACACCCCCTTCAGAGATATTTATGGAAATTTCACAGCAAGCTGTCTCAAGCTTATGTGCTATTAAGATTCCATTCTGGGGTGTTTACTGCATTAGATTTATAACATATAGATTTATGGACTCAGCTACTTGATGGCCCAATAAAGCACATTGGAACTGAAGGCAACCACTAATTAAAATAATATTTGATTGTCCTTAGCATATTGTAAAACTGCTGTGCATTTAAACAGAGCCATTGCAGCTTCTACACAGCCTAACTGCATAACAAGAAAACTGACAATTCACATGTAAGATCAGTTTAATTGTGGGTACACTCAGGGAATTATAGCATGTTGTTCTATCGGTTTGCATACATGGAAGTGGGCTAATGTTGAAATACTCTTAAGCCCCTCATGGCCTTGGCTGTTCTAAACACCAAAGAATGAAAGGATTGAAATTCACAGCCAGAGAGAACAAGAAGGTTACAGTGTTAGTACCAGGGCTGCAAAGTATCAACTATTCTGCTAATCCCCATTTAAACAATTAGATTAAACCCTACTGAAAAGGATCAGCTGATAAGATGCACTTCAAGCTAAATTCCTCCTAGAAAAAGATATTTCCTATGTTGGGTAGAATTTTCATCTTGAAATCTCTACTATTCAAAGTTAGAAACAAGGGACTTAGGCACCCCTGCTCCTTGCTCTAAGTAGTTAACTTTCTCAGGGTGATGTCGTACAAAGTGTAGTAAGAGGTATGAATTTTCAAGCATGCAAAAAGCCTGGCTTACGCTCTGTAAAGGCATTTGGAAACAGTGACGAAAGCAAAATAAGGAAATAGTTAAAAGGAATATTAATTACCATAACGACTTATTGCAATGCTCACTTAATTCCATTCTAATGAACTTAATTAAGAGCTCTTAACACCACTTCAGTGTGGTGGCTCCACTCAGGAGAATAAAAGTTTTTAGACAGTGATCATGAAGGGCGATTTCATACCCTTCTCTGCAATTAAAATGGATAGATTTACCTTGCCTGCCACATAAAGATTGACATGCAGAAAACTCCGTAAGACAGACTACAGAAGGTAACAACGATGGAAAACCTGGGGCACCATCACTTGTAATGCTAGGAGCACATTAAGAGGGAAGAACATTCATGAGCCATTAACAATCAAAGATCAGACATGCAAAAACTTCTGAAAAAGCTTTTCCATGTGAACTACTGAACTAAAATCTGTAGTTTCAGCAAGTGGGGCTCACATGCAAAACATCTGGTCCTCTTTGCAAATTAGGCTTCCACCACGTAGACTAGCTGAGATTCTACCGTTGCTAATATGCATCTTATTGTCACATCTGCAATAGTTCAACATCCAAGTGCAGAACTTAGAAAGAAATTTCTTGCACATATTCAGCAAATCTAACTTTCTGCTGAGTCATCAAGATAAGTACTTGCATGAGAAACACAGTAACAAAACCAGGAAAAAAACCCAGAGGGGAGATATTTCAAGAATGTGAGATTTCTTCTGTTTCTAAATTTTATTTTCTATTATTTCTAGAAAATACTATCTTCAAACTCAGTTTCCAATTACACAGGTATAAACCTAGAGTATTGCAAGTGTTTTACCCAGAACAGAATCCAGCATCCACCTTTAACTTTCCAACTGTCCTATAATGGCTCCCTGTATCAACAGATGGAGATGAAGGGAACAGTGCTATTTTAATAGCTGCTCTTGTATTTGTTTCCATTGCTATGAAATTGGCTTTTAATTCACTTTCATTTCCTAAGTTATTTTTCTACCCCTTTTTTTGGTATAAATCCCATGTAGTAACCTACATCTGTCTGAAAATAAAAGCCGCCGCTTGATTAGAGCTGGAATGCAGTATCATATACGGTGTGTTCGGAAACTTCTGCAGAAAAAAACATGTCTGCTTTAATACATCTAGCTCGAGGCACCACGGGGTGAGTCAAGGACAGCAGAGCGGTATGTTTGAAAAAAAGAAAAAGCCCGTGCTTTTCTTGGCTAGCTAATACGTAAACTTCGATGTTATACACATGACTTTTTTAAGCGTTTGGGATAAAAGTAATTTTATCTCACTGCAAAGATTTATTTTCTGCCCCTCCTGTCTTTTAGGAGACTGTGGAAATCCACCTGCAAAACAGTGTCTTCCTGGCACTATAAGAATTAAACAACATGCAAATTTCAGCAGTTAGACTAACTTGCTATTAATTAAACAACGATTCATGATATATATGGAATGGAGATGAATTATATTTTTCACCATTGTTTCAATCTTTTAGAGGGATAATAAAAAACCCCCAACCTATTATAGGAATCATTTATCACTATATTCTGGAAGAAACAACAGCATACTGTCCAATTCACTTCCTGAAGCTTCTGGGACATATAACACGAGCTACTTCTTTGTCATGTATTTTTCCTCCAGAACCACAGAATACAACTGAAAAAAAAAATTCTTTCTTATAGTATACAAATTGCTAAAGCTTTTATCAAGTAGGTCTTTGTAAAAAAGCATTCAATTCTCTACCTGCAAGACATTAGCAGGATATAAACCATACTTTGGATTTGGTTAAAAAGATAATATAACCTTTTTTTTTTCATTTTTTGTAAATAATGAATTCACACTGCATTTTTTCTTCCAGTCTTTCAGAAAAATGGTAACTAAGGAAATGTTATAGCTAAGGAAAGCCAAAAAGCAAGCAACAAGGGTCCAAGCTTAGTGCTTTGGTTTTTTTTCCCCCCAGATGATTACATCTTCAAATGATTACTGCTTTAAAAGCTTTTGTAGAGGTTTTCTTTACGCTTAAGGCACCATGTTATTGTAACTTCTTATCAATGTCACCTTTCCTCTAATCTCTGGAGTTTTGAAAAAATAATTTGTTTGCAATATCTTCTAAAAAATCACAGGTAACTCCTGACACGGACATATTTTTCTGTAGTTTTTCTTGTGCGGCTGCATAGTAACTGCCTACTGTTGCAACGTCTATCCTGAACACGTGTCAGTGAAATTCGCTATTAGTTAGCGTGAGTATTTCTAACAAGCCAGCTATGAAGAGTATGGCTTTATCTTTTGCACCCCCTCGAAAATGTAGAAAGAAAACCCTATGGAAACCGTAGGTATAATTTTAATGGAGTAGAAATCAAGAACAAAAAACAGTATATATGCAGAATATGAAAGAAGGCTTTTGCATCTGGTGCAGCTTCAGTGGTATTATCAACGGAATAAAAATTGCTTAACCTGCAGCCAGTGATATTGTAAAATGTCAATATTCTGTGATACTCAAGTTAGTAAGCCTCCACTTAGCATCTTAAGTGTAAAGTCTATAGTATAATGACTTTTCTTCCAAATGAATGGTACGGCAGTTGGAAATCTCTTGATCATTTTATAAATATAACTAAATGTTTTCAGTCTTGTTCCTTCACCCTCTTGCGGCAGCAGAGCAACTTATTCCCACACAAGGGAGCAGGATACGACGTCAAAAAAAAACATCAGTAACTTCAGGGCTAGGTGAAACCAGAGCATTACCTTCTAAAAATCTAAAAGAATTCCAGGAATTCTTCCACTTCCCCAAAATATAAGGGCATTTAAAAAAAATAGATATTTATACTTGTAAAATATTTAGGGGATGAGTGGTTTTTTTCTTATCTCCTGGGTCCATTATAGAGTCAAACACATAACTGGGGAAGTTCTCAACATTGCAGACTAGGGTTTTCAAAGACATCTGAAGGATTGAGAGACACAGTTCTTACTGAATTTCAGTTGGACTTGTGACTAAGCCCTCTAGGACCCCCTCTACAGTGAAGTCACAACAAACGGAAAAGAACAAGTGATGTTGGTAATAAAGATGTATACAAAACATATGACAGCTTTTGCTATTTTACTCATTTTTTCCAGTAATTCTAGGTTTAAAATGTGTTTATTTTGAGGTGCTTTTATTTCAACTCCAATCCATTTTTCCCCAGAACTACTCACTTGATAAAGTATTTGATTCCATCTGCTGTATAAGCTTCTTCCCATCCATAAGGCAGACCTAAGATGAAATAAAGAAATAAGATGTATCTCAAAGCTCAGGTGACACAAAGAACATAGTTTTGAAATGGTGTAAGCTAGAATGGTGTCATTTCAAACCATGTCATAAGAAGATTATAAATGAATTCTCACTATTTTTGCAATAAATAATACAATTAACAATACAATTGCAATAAACAATACAATTTAATAAATACTTGCAGTGCCACAAAGCTATAAACCATTTGATGATACTTTTATTACTATCATTTCTTTTGTAGAAGCTGAAAGTCTGGCCAAATTAGAGTGCAGCCCTTAATTATTTTTGAAATTTTTATAGTAATTTACACCTATATGAAGTGACCAAAAAACCACCTATGTCCATGATCTGCTGAGGTCTGTTTTACTTTGTTTTTACAGCTATTACATATGTATACTAGTAACTATATGAGGCAGAATCAAATCCTCTGCTGTTTGGTTTATCACCAACTTCTGTGTTTACACACAATTCTTTGAGAATTTAGACACAAACTCCATGACACTTAGAGACAGATTCAGAGAACACATGCACAGATATTTGTATGTATGTTATCTATGTCTACATATCCTGACAAAGGTTAATTTACTAAATGCATTGCTTAAATTTGTGATTTGCAGTAATGTTTCTGGGAGTTAAAGTATTTACTACTGCAATGTTTAGCATGAATTAAGATCAGTTATTCTGAAAGGGTGTCAGTTTTACATGCACTAAGAAACTGCTCTCTTATCCCCTTTTGTAATTACCAGTTGTGCTAATCTTCAAAACTCAGTCTTGGATTTTGTTCTTAGTTTGAAAGTCCCATCCATGAGAAAGATGAGTAATACTTTTAGTAGGGTACTATACTATATCACTTTAAAAATTCAATTTTCATAGGAAACCTTTACCTTTTTTATTACTATTTGTTCAAAACCAACTGTTTGTGGAGTTTGAAAAGTGCTGGAGAAAGAAGCAATGGTCAATGTGCAAAAATGCTCCTGATGTAGGCTTTTGTGATACTGTAATGCAATACACATAGAGCAAAGTGCAAGGTCCTGAAAAGCCTCCCTTTTTTGGAGACTAGAAATACAAATAAAATTAAAATATACAGGAAAAAATGTTCTGGAAGTGCTTTAGCTTGAAAGTCATCTCGAAATGTTAGTGTCTTAGGAGTTAAACTGTTTTGTTCAAGTCACAGTATATCTCAAAGACCAGCTCATTCGAACCATCTGTGAGCCTGCTCTAGATTTAAAACTTTTATTTGGAAAATGTGCTGGACTGCACGCACCATATGATCTTTGAAAGCTGCTTCATACCATGGCATGCCCTAAGTGCACACATATATATTTTTTTAATTTCTTTCTTAAAAGGCTCATTTTCTTTTCTCCCAACATCACACCACCTAAGTGAGGTCCTTACTTCTTGAAAATCTGGAAAGGGATAACTTCACTTCTCAAAGATAAACAGAGCTCATTACGGCTACTGAATCATGACTTGGCACAATCAAGCAGGTACAAACCAGCTGAGAAGTAATTGTTCCTGTAGGCACCAAGTGAGGAGCAACAAGTAAGTCTACCAAAACTCCAGAATTCAGGAAGGGAACTTGAGAATTGGTAACTGTAGAACAGCACCATTACTGTTTAGTACAGCTTGAAAAGCAAAAAGCCCATTGGATTTTTTTTTTTTTCCTTTCACTTTTACCCCATATTAGTCACTTATCTCAGGCTTCTTCCCATTTTTAGAACAGATCTATACAATATCTATACAATCTGTTCCTCAAAACATGCCACCTACTACCTTTGAAAGAGAATAATCCACAGCTACTCCCCTTTAAATACAAGGTAGTTGCTGCGTAATAGTTTTCAGGCTCTGACTCCATTATGAAGGACGGAAGAAAATGAAGTTTTAAGTTATAAATATGCTAGACATGATCACTAGTTTTTCATTCCTCTCTCATAAAAGATGGGAACTTTATTCAACACGGATATTCTCTAATGATTTAAATGGCAATAAGATTCATCCTTCAATTGCTTCCATCTGCCCTGGCCATTCCTCACTCTTGCATGCAACATGCATATCCAAAATAAATGACAACGTATTTGCTCAATTATGAATAAAACCTCAGCATCTCATGTGCTCACATGGATCCCCTACATCACCCGTTTCATTCATCAGTGATAAAACAGGCTGGAGGGGAGGGGTGCCATCCAGAGGGACCTGGACAGGCTGGGGAGGTGGGCCCATGCCAACCTCATGAAGTTCAACAAAGCCAAGTGGAAGGTCCTACATCTGGGTCGGGGCAATCCCAAGCACAAATACAGGCTGGGCGGAGAATGGATCGAGAGCAGCCCTCTGAAGAAGGACCTGGGGTGGTTGGTTGAAGAGAAGCTCAACATGAGCCGGCAATGCGCGATCGCAGCCCAGAAAGCCAACTGCATCCTGGGCTGCATCAGAAGCCCAGTGTGGCCAACAGGTCAAGGCAGGTAATTCTGCCCCTCTACTCCACTCTTGTGAGACCCCATCTGGAGTACTGTGTCCAGCTCTGGCACCCCCAACATAGGAAAGACATGGATCTGTTGCAGCGGGTCCAGAGGAGGGCCACAAAGATGATCAGAGGGCTGGAGCACCTCTGCTATTAGGACAGGCTGAGAGAGTTGGGGTTGTTCAGCCTGGAGAAGGGAAGGCTCCAGGGAGACATTATAGCCCCTTCCAGTCCCCAGAGGGGCTACAGGAGAGCTGGGGAGGGACTTTTTACACAGCCATGTAGTGATAGGACGAGGGGGAATGGCTTCAAACTGGAAGACGGCAGATTTAGATTAGATATCTGGAAGAAATTTTTCACTCTGAGGGTGGTGAGACACTGGCGCAGGTTGCCCAGAGAAGCTGTGGCTGCCCCATCCCTGGAGGTGTTCAAGGCCAGGCTGGACGGGGCTCGGAGCAACCTGGGCTGGTGGGAGGTGTCCCTGCCTATGGCAGGGGGGTTGGAACTCGATGATCTTCAAGGACCCTTCCAACCTAAACCATTCTGTGATTCTATGATAATTACACATATTTTCTCCAGTAATTTGATTAAAATTATGTCTGTCTTCTTTTTTCTTCTAAATGAAGAACAGTATATAGGTAGCAATCATAACTGATGCTCTGTATTCTTTTCTTAACCACGAAAGACTATGCTTTTCAAGAATACTGAATACATTTGTCACCTATAGATGAGACTCTGGAGATATCTCCACAGTTTTATTTGCCTTTTTGACTTTATATGCATTAGATTGTATATCCTATCCACTCTCTATATGCTTCAAAGTTCCACCTACATCTGTAGGTTTTTTAATGCCTTTATTTTGAACATTTTTACTCTTTCTCCACTAGTTTTTCACTGCTGTTCCCTTTACTCCTTTCCTTCACCATTAGATTTGTACTTCTACTTCTTGATATTTCCCATGGTAGCCAGGAGGCTCTCATGTTTTGCATCATATTTCCCTAGACATCATCTTCACTTCCTTCAAGCTCACTTTCTCCATGAATCATTCATAAGTTGATCTACTTCCTAGTGCTCTATTTTTTCACAACCTCCAGGGTCAGATTTGTTGCCTGTCCTAGGACTTCGAAAGATTGCTAAGCTCTCACCTGGAGTAAATGGGAGGTAAAGGAGCTCCAACAGTCAGACATATAGTCTGAAAGATACAGGATTTAGCCTATATAAACTCCAGCAGTCTTAGGTTTCCTGCATATTTAACATTTCTTCTGCAAATTGCTACAGTCTTTGATGAAACTTCATAAATAATATATCTTGGCTGCAGTTGTCTGCATATATCATCTTACAAAATTACAGATTTACAAGATGCAAAAATAATTTATTTTCAGCAGAAAATACAGGGCTCCTTGCTATTCAAACATTTGTGACTATTTATCTTTTGCAAGGTAAAGAAAAGGTAAAACTGCAAAAGTAATTAAGCGGACAAAGTAAACGGAATACCGTCCAAAGCATCCTTTGCCCAAATAGAATAGTCTCCTGAGAGTGCATGTTCGCCAAAATACATTATAACCTACCATTATTTTGTTCTGAGTATATGCATTTAATTAGGTTTAATACAAAAGAGATTTCTATAATTCTATGTGAAAACCAACAAACCACTTGCTGTTGTACATATACCAGAAGTGCTGGAGCTGGCCACAGAGCAGCAAGGCAGTATCCCTGGTGCCTGCTTGCCGCCTCAGCTGCAAGATGCCTGCTGTGATAACCACTGTTGTAAACTTCACGTTATATAAAGCAGAAAGGCAGTGAAACCCTAGGGCAAACAAAATTTTCTTGATAAAGTGTGGATCTCATAATTCTTTATCACTTCCTTGGGTTAACAGGAACAGAAAATGCACCAGCACTGATACTTGCTTGGTTGCAGTCAGTAGAAAGATAAGCATCAGCCCAAATTATAAACTTGTATGAAGTGACACATGTTGAAGATTTTGCCCACTGTTTCCAAGACAGAATGCGCATACTGTCCCTCATGCTTCCGTACAGCCTTCCTGCAATAAAAACTGCACATACAGTGATCAACGTATGTCCCTAAAGGAAGAACGGGGGAAAATACAAAAATCAGGAAAAAGCCCCAAACCTAGAAACTCTGCAGTAATGTAGTTGTTGTTTGTTTTTGGTTTTTTTTCCCAATAAGTTAGTTTAAAGAAAAAGAAATGTGAAGATCAGCACGTGAAACTAATAAAAGCAGATACCATAGCATGAATATTCAGTTGACCCAAAACTGACAGTTATTTCCCTAACATCTAAACACTGCAATCCAAAATATTTATTTTTCTTATTTTCTGACAAAATTACTCAAAGGAAATGAGAGACTTAGAGACTATTGTAAGAATTGTTCAAAAATTTACCGTTCACTAGGATTTTATCTAGGTTTGGCCAAAGTGGGACTATTTAGATGCCTCAAGAGAAGTATGTCCTTAAGTGCTTTATTTTGGCCTTAAGGCCGGACTGTAAAACCCCGCTCCCATTG